AGGACGGGGGGACAGGAGGTGGGCCCGGGGGGCCGGGTGCAGGCTGTGTGGGGCGCGCTGACCGGGACACCCAGTTTTCATTTCGCTTCCATTTCCGTAAAGGAGAAGGGGCCCTGTCCGGGGAGCAGCCCCGAGCTACGCGATTCTTTATGTTGTATCGTTTTGTTCTGTTTTGTTCTGTTTTGTTTTGTAAAGTGTATAATTTTTTAAATATCTGAGTTTTAAAAAAAAGAAAAAGAAAAAAAGTACAAAAAAAATTCTTGTTAAGGCCTTAAGAAGGGTTAGTGCATCTTTCAGGGGTCACTCTGCCGAGGGGGTACAATAGCTGTTTCACAAACAGTTTTATTTAAAAAAATTAAAAAAAACAATAAACTTCATTTTAACCTTGTTTCCTTTTTTGTTCCTGTAAAGCAAAATGCGTCTCTTCCTCCTCCCGTCACAGCCCCCGAGGTGGTCAGGCTGCACTCACAGAGCCAGAGGCCGACTCGGCCGGGAGGCTGGGGCCCCGCCCGTGTGTGGGGATGGTCAGATTTACTTAGGTTGATGTGAGAGCATATTTCCAATCAACATTAATTTTAAAGGTTATAAAAAATAATGTGATGTTAATGGACTTTTTTAGAGAACAGAAATACTGGAAGGAATGTTGTGAAGTAGAAATAAGCAATTATAAATGAGTTCTTATATGCTCATCAATTTGGGGCAGCAGAAATGGCAGATTAATTTCGTTTTAATGGCTGCATCAAGCAGTGTGGTCCATTTGTCATTCCCCTGCGCCCGGGCGGAGGTGTGGGTGGGCGTTCCGGGGCCCGTAGGACCTGCATAGCAATGACGGCGTTTTGAGCTGCTTGGCATCTTGTCTGGTCTCGACTTGGCATTAACACAGTTCAAGTGAAATTGATAGATTTCAGGTGTCAAGGGCTAAACCACAAAACTTGAAAAATACGCATCCTGAGGAAAATATTTTCCTGACAGCAAATGATTCTTTGTCATTTTGCCTTTTATTCTCCTGTCCCCTCTGGACTTGCTGGTGATGCCTGGGCGAGGCCTCGTGCGCCTCCTAGACCCTCCCTCAGACCAGCCTCTGTCAATGACTCGGCCGGGCGGTGGCCGAGTGCCCCCGTCCCTGCCGACCCAGCCTTCCGCCTTCTGCTGGCGGCCTCACCTACTCAGGTGCCTCATCTCAGCTCCCAGCACTTCTGAGTTCCATGCCCTTTTTTTTTTTTGGCTTTTGGTATTTTGGCCGGGGGTGGGGGGGTGGAGATTTTATTTATTTTCAGATAGGGGAAGGGAGGGAGAATTCGTGACAGAAAACGTTACTTGATCGCCTTTCACATGCCCCAGGGCAGCACCTGGCCAGAAACCCAGGCATGGGCCCTGACCCGGAATTGAACCAGTGATCTTTCAGTTCACAGGCTGCCGCTCAGTCCACTGAACCACACCAGCCAGGGTCCATGCTTCTTTCTTTTTAACATATGTAATTTTTAGGGCACAGCGGCAGCCTGGTTAAGATGAACGAGCCTGCCCGGACCCGTTGTGGCGGTTTACATTAGAGCTGGCTCTGTTGTCTGGTCCCCTCCTGGCCCCCGCACCTCCCCCCAAGCCCTGGCGACCCACCGGCCTTTCTCTCTGGCTCCGCAGCTCTGTGTCGCCCAGGACACCAGCTGGTTGGGGTGGTACTCAGCGCAGCCTTTTCCGATTGGGTTTCTTTCCCTTAGTCGTATGCATGTTTCCCCCGTGTCTTCATGACTTGATAGCTCGCTTCTTTTTAGTGCTGAATGATGATCCGTTGTCTGGACCCACCAGAGTTTATCCACTCATTACCTGAAAGGCACCTTGGTTGCTTCCAAGTTTTGGCGATTAAGAATAAAGCCACTATAAAACCTGCCTGTTCTGAACGCTTGGATGTAATTTTCAACATGTTTGAATCAATACCAAGGACTGATTGCTGGTAAAAGAATGTTTTATATTCTAAGGAACCGCCGAACTATCTTCCGAAGTGGCTGCGCCGTTGCGCAGTCGCTCCCAGGGCAGCCAGCGAGAGTTCCGTTGCTCCACGTCCTGGGCAGCAGGGGGTGTCAGTGTTCTGGGTGGTGAACATTCTCACAGGTGTGTAGTGGTGATGGACTTTTTTAAAATAACTTTTAAATCATGGTGTAAACATAACATTTACCACCTTGACCAATAAGTGTGCATCTCAGTAGCGCTAATACAATGACACCGTCGGGCCACGGATCTTCAGAATTTTCCTTTCATCTTGCGAAGCCGAAGCCCCGGGCCTAAAACAACTGGAAGGCAGCCCTGCCCCGTTGCGAGCTCCTGCGCCCCACGGCGGCGGCCGGCGGAACTGCAGCCACCCAGCCGGAGCCCGCGGGCGCGCCGGGGTCCGCGCTGAGTCCGGTGAGTCCGCCGAGTGCTCAGCGCGCGGCACCCAGACCAGCTGGACGCAGGTTCTATACTGTCTTTCTGTCCCCAGGGAGGAGCGGGAATTGGGAGGTTTGGGCCGCGGGCGCTGCCCTGCCGCGGGGGAGGGGGGCAGGCGAGCAAAATGCCGCCAACTTTCCGGAGGCCCCTCTGGATGCTGTCGCGCCCTCCCTGCTTTCCAGAGCTTTCACCAGGGGTCGGCTCTGCCTCGAGTTGGGGGCCCAGGGCTGGGTCTCTGTGCCTTGGGAGGATCCAGGGCCGGGTGCTTCCTGGTTCGCCATCTTTCTGACGTCGCCCTGGACTCAAGTCTCAGGTCACGTGTCCCGAGGACCCCTGTGCTGGTGACCCCTTGTGACAGGCGTGGTCTCTGCGGGGTGGCGGGACGGGCACTCGCCCGCTCACCAGCAACTTCACCAGAGCAGAAGCCCAGGGAGGGCGGGATGAGTGTTCCTGAGAGTAAATCTCGGCCACTTACATGCGGGCCCTTATGGAAGTTTATGCCCACAGCCTACAGCAGAAGCTCAGAGCTGGAGTTTGCGAAGGACCCTAATGCTGCTCTGTAACTTTGACCTGAGTGACTCGAGAGACTCACTGTCCTCTGTGCCTTGGGGACCATAAAGCCACCTACCTGCCTTAAGGGCTGTGGGAAGGGCACTGAGTGAGCAGTGCCTGGCACTCAGTCGCCTCGTCAACAAAAGCTGCGGTTATGCAATGATGGCAGAAGGCCAGAGGCCTCGCGACTGCGAGTTTTGCTCTCTCGTCCCACACACGGGCCCTCGTAGGGGGAGGGCATCGCCTGAGTCACAGGCAGGCCTGTCACTGACCTTCCCATTCCCGTGAGGGTGGCTGCTTGGAGCGGGCCCGACATCCAAACAGCCTCTCAGTAAAGGCGGTGTGTGAGGTGGGACCACCCTGCTACCACCACCTGATTCTGACAGTCCTGAGTAGAAAACGGGTGCCCCCTAGGACAGGGATGTTCGGCTGAGGCCAGGACAAAAGCCACAGGTGGTCCCGAGAGTGCCTGGGGGTCTTGCCCTCCTGGTCTGTTGTGTGACCTCACAGCTGGCCTCCCTGCCTCCCAGAGGCCCAGCCCCCCAGCTCCGCACAGTCCAGTCCTCAGCCAGTCCTGCAAAGCCCAGGTCTCTGGCCATCTCCCTCCCACTGCCACTCACCTCCCCCTGCATAGGACTTTGCAGTGGCACTTTGGTCCCATCGCCAGGTCATCTTGGCCTGCAGTGCCAAAGCCGGCCAAAGTCCTCCATGAAGTCTCCCCAGAAAGTCCTACTCCAGCCTGTGGCGAGGTCCCCATGACCCTCGAAGCAGTCTCCGCACGGCTGTCGGCCCTGACTTCCGCCGCCTCCTCCTCGTAGGAGCACCTGGGAGCGCCCCCCCCCAGCCTCTCCGCACTGTGCTGCAAGTGCTTGTCCCAGCGCCCAGCACCTGGGATGCCCGGTATGGGTGGAACAGTATCCAAGCCCAGGCCCAGGCAAGATGCAGGGAGGGCCCAGCTGGGCCCCAGCAGACTCCACCCTCTGGGCCTGGGCCCAGCAGGGCCTGGCAGGAGAGTGGGATGTGGGGACTCGGCAAGAGGAGGAACAGCGTTCACACACCAAGCAGGATTTTACCAAGAGGCCACAGGCTCTCTGATGCCGGAGGTGCTCTGGGTGGACTCTGGTGCTCTTGCTGTTGGGGAGTGAGGGAGAGAACGGGGGGGGGGGGGGGGTATGGGGCCAGGAGGGCTTCCTCCAGCCCTGCTTCAGGTGAGGGAGGGCACCTTCAAGACCCTGAACTACTCCGGCTGCTTCCAGAGGGAGCGCTTGCCTCACATGCCCCTGGGAGGGGCGGAGGGGGAAGAAGCAATGCCCCATCTCCACCTCTGGGCTCCTGGGTCTTTGAGTTTGAGAGGGCCTGCCTCAGAGTTCCACCAGCTTTGCTGATTTAAAAGCCCACATCCCACCTCTTTCCCTGTTGAAGAAGAAGGGTGCTGAGGGGTCACTCTGTGTGGAGGGCCAGACAGCCTGCGGCTCGGGGAGAGGGAGGAGGCCGGCAACGGGAGGGTCCATCCTTAGGGCCCTCGGCGGGCCTGGGAGGGTGTGGAGAAGCTACGTGTCCACTTGGTGTCCATCTCCATGGCTCCCAGAAAGAGTCGGAGCAGCTGATGTTCAAGGCCACAGTGTGAGGAGGAGGAAGCAGGCCCGCCGCTGTGGGGACAGGCACGTCCCGGGCCAGGCCTGAGGAGGCTCAGCCGTCCAGGGGAAGTGCCCACCCCACATTTCTCCAAGTCCCGGGAGTGAAGGAGACCCGTGGCCCGGGCGGCCACCAGAGCTAGGAACAGACGTAGGAAAGGGTCCTCGGGCAGTCGCACTGGCATGTCAGGGTGACCAGGGAGCTGTAACACAACTCTGCTCCCTCTCCCCCTCCCCCCAGGTTCAAACTCAACACAGCCCCTCCCTGCCCCAGACCCAGGCAGCTGGGCCAGCAGGCAACCAGGTGGGGGTCCCCAGGTGGGGGTCATGTCCAGGCAGCCTCAGGCCCACTGAGAACTAGGAGGCGTGTAAGTTATGCATGTGCTAGTGTGTATGAATGTGTGCGTGTGATCTTGTGTCAGTCTGTAAACATGTGGGTGGTGTCTGATGTGTGATTCTGTGTGTTGAATGTAGCGGTGTGAAGTGAGGGGACACTGAGAACTTCATTCCTCCCTCCACGTGGGCCTGCGACCTCCCTGTAGCAGTGGGCAAGGGGCAGCAACAAACGCGGGAGGTGAAGGTCACTCAAGAGGAGGCAGGTGACGTATGAAAGGTCGGGACGTGTCCTGGGGACAAGTCTGTAAAACCATGAGGCATGGACCTACTGTGACAGGTGGAAGGGTCAAGTCTGAACCCCCCGGCCCTTCCTCGGATCCTGTACAGAGCCCCGGAGTTGGATGGGGGTGGGCTTCTCACCTCTGCCTCTCTGCCCTAGGGAACACCTAGACAGGACAGGAGGGATGAGGACTTCTCTGGCCACCCTGCTCCTGACCTCCTCTGCCCCTTCCCTGTACCCCTGGCAACACAGTCACCCAACAGACAGGTTGGCTAGAGCAGAGGGCAAAGGCCAGACTCCACTCCCTTTATAAAGAAAACCCAGGCTGGTCAAGTCCACAGGATGTGGTGAGAGCACCCTGCCTGGCCTGGTCCTAGGTGCCTGGAGTGGTGAGGGGCACCCTGAGGAGCCCGGTGGGCACTGAGGCAGCCATGGGGCTCCTGACGGGGGAGGCACTATGGACTCTGGCCGTGGTCGTGGTCATCTTCCTGCTGCTGGTGGGCCTGATGCCCCAGGCTGCGCGGCGCTGGTCTGCTCGCTACCCACCAGGCCCCGTGCCACTGCCTGGGCTGGGCAACCTGCTGCAGCTGGACTTCCAGAACATGCCTTGCTCTATTAACCAGGTGAGGAAGGTTGGGGGGTGGGCAGCAGAGGTCCCGGGGACCCCACCTCACAGCAGACAGTTGGTGGTGAGTGAAGCCACAGGCTAGACAAGGAGCTGAGCTGAGAGGAGGCCGCCAGTTTGAGGGGCTTCTGAAGGCGGCATTTGCACAGTGGCCTGAAGGGCAGTTCAGATTTTCCAAAGGTCAGAGGGGCGATGGCTTGGAGAGGGGATGGTGCTTGGCAATGAGTTTGGATTCCAGTTGGGCTGTGTTTAAATTATGTGAGCTTGTGTCCCTTCAGTTTAGATCAGGGAGAAAGTCCTTGAAAATGGGGGAGAGGAGTCTGATCGTGAGCCCCATTTAAATCAGGAAATCGGGGTTGAAAGGGGTAGAGAATGGGTTCAACTCTTCTCATGCTGTAGGTCCTTGGGCCTCACTGTTCACCTCTGTGAACCTCGGTTTCTTCACCTGTAAAATGAAATGTAACTAGGCCTACTGACAATTTCGGTGACCTTTGCAAAGTCATAGCTGGGTGGTCTGATCCAACGTGAGGTGCTTCAACAAGAGGATATGACCTCCCGGGCCACGAGGCCGGATAAAGTCCCAGCACCTTCTCGCTCCTGACCACCCAGGTGTCTGCGAGGCTAGGGCCGTGAGACTGGGTGGGCGGGGGTCTTAACAAACACCCTTGATCGTCCGCCTGCAGCTGCGGCGCCGCTTCGGGGACGTGTTCAGCCTGTGGCTGGTCCGGACGCCGGTGGTCGTGGTCAACGGCCTGGCAGCCGTGCGTGAGACGCTGGTGAACCACAGCGAGGACACCGCCGACCGCCCGCCTATGCCTATCTACCAGCACCTGGGTTTCGGGCCGCGCTCGGAAGGCAAGAGGAGGGGGCAGACCGCGGCCGCACAGGGACAGGGCCCGCAGTGACTCGCGGTCCGGCAGGCCCAGGCGGAGGAGGGTCCTGGAGAGCGGTGCAGGGAAGAGTCAGCGAATTTGAGGGGGCGGCAGGTGGAGCGGGGCAGCTGTGTCCAGGGCGCCGGAGAAGGCTGTGGGCGGGGCCTAACAGAGGGGCGGGCCGTGGCCGCGGGGAGTGGGAACGGGTGGGACGCGGTCAGGTGGGAGCTGTTCGGGGGCGGGCAGGACCTTCCCGGAATGGTGGGGGCGGGGGTCAGCGTGGGTCCAGCAGCCTGGGGCCAAGAGCAACAGAAGAGAGCTGGCGAGCGACGAGGACAGAGAGTGGGACCTGTTCCTAGTTGGAAGGGGGTTGTCGAGTGGGCGGGATTTGGTGGAGGAGGCGGAGTCAGCGGACGCAGAGCAGGAGGCGGGGCCGAGCGGAGCCCGCGAGCCTGTGTGACTGACAGGCCGAGGCAAACCTGCGCCGAAGGGGCCAGGACTTGTGGGCAGGGCACGGGGCGGAAACCTGCCGGGCCCGCTCTCGCCCCCAGGAGTAGTCCTCGCGCGCTACGGACACGCGTGGCGCGAGCAGCGGCGCTTCTCCCTGTCCACCCTGCGCAACTTCGGCGTGGGCAAGAAGTCACTGGAGCAGTGGGTGACCGAGGAGGCCTCCTGCCTCTGTGACGCCTTCACTGACCAGGCCGGTGAGCGCGGGGGCTGAGAGGCAGGGGACGGGGATGGAGGGGCGGGGGAACGGGGCGCTGGGGGCGGCACCCTGACCCGCACCGCCCTCTCCTAGGACGCCCCTTCTGCCCCAACGCCCTCCTAAATAAAGCGGTGAGCAACGTGATCTCCTCCCTCGTTTGGGGCCGCCGATTCGAGTACGACGACCCGCGCTTCGTCAAGCTGTTGGACCTAATGCAGGAAGGACTGAAGGAGGAGTCAGGACTCATGCGCGAGGTGCGCGGGGAGGGTGGTGAGGACAAGGAGTCTTGGGCGAGCTCAGTGGAAGGCAGGCTTCTGCCCTGCAAGGGGCCCTTGGGGAGCGGAATTGATAATATATAGAAGGGCTTCAGAAAAAAAGGGCATTTCAGAGCAGGCGCCTGCAAGAAGAAAGGCCTGAAGGAGAGAAAAATCGCCAAGAGAGATGGGAGAGGCGGGCCAGGGTCAGCACCCCCGGGTGAGAGCTAAAGAACCCGGACCTCCTCCATTAGAGGTCACAGAACCAGCCACAGGAAGATTTTAGGTTTATCCTTCTGGCAGCCCAGGTCAATGGAGGCAATGCCTCGGAGGCAGCTGGGACCAGACTTGTGAAGGGGAACACCTGAGAGCAGGAAAGGCCATGCAGGGCCCCACATGTGTGGCCTGCACAGGTGCTGAACTTGGTCCCAGTGCTCCTGCGCATCCCAAGACTGGCTGCCAAGTTATTCGCGGGGCAGAAGGCCTTCATGGACATGATGGACGAGCTGATCACCGAGCACAGAATGACCTGGGACCCAACCCAGCCTCCCCGGGACCTGACTGATGCCTTTCTGGATGAGGTGGAGAAGGTGAGGGGCAGCTTCCAGGGGTGGAGCCAGGGAGTTGTGGGTGTACCATGAGGTGAGGCCTGTGTATCATCCAGTGATCTGGCACCCAGGCTGCTGGGTGCATTCTGAGAGGCCACTTGGGGGCTTCCTCCTTCTGCCCCTGAACGTACCCTCTGCATGGCCCAGGCCAAAGGGAACCCTGAGAGCAGCTTCAATGATGAGAACCTGCGCATGGTGGTGTCCGACCTGTTCAGTGCTGGGATGGTGACCACCTCAACCACGCTGGTCTGGGGCCTCCTGTTCATGATCATGCATCCGGACGTGCAGCGTGAGCCGAGCCAGCCCAGGGCCCCGGTGGGAGGGGAGGGACAGTCTGGGACCCCGGGGCCCGGTTTAGCTCCAGGAGCGCTCTCAGCAGAGGCTGGGTCCCAACTCTGCCATCAGCATGACCACCTCCTCTACATGGGCACAGCCTCCAGAGGTGGTTGAAGCCCAGGCTCTTGGGTCTGACCACCATGGGGATGCTTGTCTGTCCAGGCCGTGTCCAGCAGGAGATCGACGAGGTGATAGGGCAAGTGCGACAACCAGAGATGGGGGACCAGGCCCAAATGCCCTTCACCATGGCCGTGGTCCATGAGGTGCAGCGCTTCGGGGACATCATTCCACTGGGCTTGCCCCACAAGACGTCCCGTGACATTGAAGTGCAGGGTTTCCTTATCCCCAAGGTAGGTCTGTGGCCCTCCTCACCCCAGCTCAGCCCCACCTCCCATCTGGTAGCCCCAACGTGGCCACTGACTGGGCCCAGCCACCCACTCATTTCCACAGGCACCGCCTGCACCCTGGGTGCCATGTGGGGATGAGAACAGGGCCAGAGCCCCCAGCTGGGTGGGAGAGACGAGCTAAAATGTGTTGGAGGAGTCAGGTATGCGGCCACAGGTGGCAGCGAGGGCACCCATGGGAAGCACGTCACTTTGCCCCATGAGGACAGGTGCGTCCCGGGCAGTGTGCGAGTGCCCATGCATGTTTGGTGGCAGGGGTCCCAGCATCCCCCACTCATGTCAGGCCTCTCCTGACAGGGGACGATGCTTATCACCAACCTGTCATCAGTGCTGAAGGACGAGACCGTCTGGAAGGAGCCCTCCTGTTTCTACCCGGAGAACTTCCTGGACGCCCAGGGCCGCTTCGTTAAGCAGGCGGCTTTCATGCCCTTTTCAGCAGGTACCCCCTCGGCCCAGCCTGCTGCCCGTCCGAGGGCTCTGAAGGGGTGGAGCCCGGGCCCCAGGCTCACCGAGCCCCCCTCCCCCACCGTATCTGCCCACAGGCCGCCGCTCCTGCCTCGGGGAGACCCTGGCCCGCATGGAGCTCTTCCTCTTCTTCTCCTGCCTCCTGCAGCGGTTCAGCTTCTCCGTGCCCGAGGGGCAGCCCTGCCCCAGCAACCACAGTGTCTACTCCTTCCTGGCAACTCCGGTCCCTTACCAGCTCTGTGCTGTGCCCCGCTAGAGGGGGCACTGAGCCCCCAGCCCGCTCCTCAGCTGGGAGCCCCAATGTACAATAAACCAATCTGGTGACTCCAGCCTGAGAGTCCCACCCAGTCCCTTAATCAGCCCCTGGCAGTGATGGAGCTGCAGCTGCCGCCCCAGGGCCAGGGCCTTCCTGCCTTACCCACCCTTACCTAGCATTGGACCCCCTTGGAGAGATGGATATACTGAGGATCAGAAAGTGACGACTTACCCTAGTCACCTACGGAGACCCAATACTGGCTACTAGGGCTGGTGACGAAGTCCACACATAAGTCCCAGGTCCCTCTGGGAGGGGCAAGACTAGGCTGCTAAGGGCTGTTGGCCAGGCTGGGGGGGGGGCTCACTTGGCCCACTGCCCGCACCTCAGGCCCGACACCCCCACCGGGTACCACGGGCCAGCAGCTCAGCCGGCACCATCAAGTGTGCTCCCCCACTTCACCTATGACACCCCAAAGGTGGGGAACTCAGGGCGGCTGGGAAGGGACAAGCCCAGTGAGCCCCAGGCTCAGCCATTGGGTGTCAGAGCTCCCCCTGGAAAGCCCAGTGGCAGTCCAGGAGCCAGCCACCTCCCCGAGCCCCTCAGTCACCCCACCGCCGAGTTGACTACCTGCCCTGCCCCTCAGCGGTGCTCACACCCCGGCCCCCACCAGGTGAGGGTTCCCTCGGGGCCACGCTGGAGCTGGAGGACACCTTAGGCTCCAACCAGGGCACGGGTTCCTCAGTGGCCAGGTCAGGCCCAGCTCTCAGCAGGCTTGGCCCCTGCTGGCCGCACATATGTCTTAGGGACAGGGGTCAAACCTTGGAGGCCACATGGGGACCTTGGAGAACAGCTTGGCTCTAATCCTTGTTCTGTCACAACACAGTGTGACCCTGGGCTTCTGGTTCCCCTTCTGTCAAGGAGAACATGGCCCCAGACGGCCGCTGGGTCCCGTCCCTCGGCTGTGACCCTGGGCTTGGACCTTGTTAGCTGCATCCCCCGCCCCCCACCGCACCCCGTGCCCACTTCAGAAGGGGCTGGCTCTGACTGGGCACACAGGAGCGCCCCGGGGTGCCTAGTGACCGTCTGCCTACTTAAGTCTTGGGACGCCCTTTGGTGCACTTAGTTAACAGCTTGGGGACTCCAGACGCTCAGGGCAGTGGCACCTCTGACGGGCTCCACCAGTGCCGGCCACGACGGGGGGGCTCCCGGCTCTCAGCATTCCAGGAATTGGTCTGTCCCTTGACATGGAGTCAAAGGCCAGCAGGACCCCTCCGGCCTCTCCAGAGCAGCCCTGACCGGGCAGGCGTGGTGGCAGGAAGCGGTGTTCCCGCAGCTGTTGGACAGTGAGTGCCGGCGGGGCCTCGCCGGGTCTGTGAGGACATGAGGCCAGAGAGGGGGCAGTGGGACGTACGGGCATCACCTTGTGCATTTATTGGGCAGTTTGTCATTCATGGTTCTGAGTCTTGGGGCTGTCAGAGGCTGGGAACCAGCCGAGCCAGAGCTTCTTCAGGGGCTGTGTGGTCCCCCGGGCCTGTCCTCCTTTCTCTCCACCCCGGAAGCCTCTACAAAACACAAACAGGTGTGCCTGGGGGTCCCTGGCTGGGGAGGCCCTTTCCCCAGGGCCAGGGTACGGGCTGATGGGGCGCGGGTGGGAGCAGGCAGGTCAGCATTGACACAGCTACTCCCCTGGGCTGAGGGGAGGGGTCCTGAGTCCCCCCAGCTGGGGAGCAAGCAGGAGGCTCATTCAGGAAGGTCGGGCATTGGGCTGCTTGGACTCTTCCCCTCCCTGGGCAGGAGGGTCTGAGAGGAGCCAGGCTCTGGACGACCTCCACAGGGTCGCGGAGGACAGGGAGAGAGGCAGGCCTGCTGCGGCGGGGTGGGGTCCGCCTGCTTAGCGGAAGGGTGCACAGCGGTCTCCTCTGGCACCTGTACTTCCCTGGGAAGGAGAAGGGGCCCGGGGGCCGCGATGAGACAGGTTCTGCGTTGAGCAACTGGGAACATGAGGCCTCAGTACCCGAGAGGGCAGGGCAGGCCAGGATGCGGGCAACGTCCACTCACACCAGAGGATGGCAGTCTGGCATCATCTTGGGGGCCCCCCATCCCGAGTGCCCTGACCAGGCTTCCTTACCTCACAGCCGGGGGTCCCTGCCACTTCCTTCCCAGCAAGAATGGGGCTGGCTGCTTCCTCAGCTGGGGACCTCACCGCTCCCGCATCCTCAGACCGGACCCCAGGCTCCTCCTCGGCAGCATCACTCAGGCCTCCCGTGGCCCCCATGGCCTTGGGGGTCCCGGCCTGCCGGGAGACAGGTGGACATAAGGTGGGCCAGAAGGTTCTTGAACGCCTCACCCCTCCCCATTCTCCACTGCTGGGTGTGTTCGGGTCTTTGTTGTCCCAGGGAAGTACTTCCCTTCTCAGCTCAAGCTGGGCTGGGGTTTTGAGTTTCCTGGAGGGACCCTGCCGCTACCCCCAAGAGGCCCTCCCAGCCATGAGCCAGGGCATCCCCGGCTCTCATGGAGCCGCGGTCGGGCTCCTCCCAGGGGAGACTTCACTCACTGCAGCGGCTTCCTTCTTCTCGCTCTTGACTCTGCGTCTCTGCAGAGGGAAACAGCCTCGAGTGGCTGGGAGCCCTTCCCCGGCCTCTCGCCGCCTCTCTCAAGAGTGCCTGGGACAGCCACCCACTCCAGGGCGAGAAGAATCCCCAGCCCTTACCCACCTGAGTGGTCCCAGGGTAGCACTTATCCATCGGCCCCCACACGGGCCTTAAGGTCTCTCCTATGGGCTGCATGACAAGGAGAGAGAGAAGGAATGAAGGCGGAGGTGACACCTAGGGGCCCCCGGCTGCTGTGCACAGGTCACCATTACAGCAGGCGCGCACAGACACCAAGACTACCAGGAATCCAGAGAGTCTCAAACAAATGATTCCTGATGTCTTTAGAAAGATAAAACTTTGCCTTCACGAATGAAACCAGGAGGGCTTTAAAACAGAAATGTTCAAACATTAACCTCTAATTGTTGAAAAGCAAAACTACAATATGATCATGGGGAAAATTTTGAGCAAAGTGTAGAAAGTAAAGGAGAAAAAAAGTATTTCTCAGAAAGAACAGAGATGACATGACCAAGGACTAAGTCACAGATCTTTCTGAACTGGGGGACAGAGGCACCCGGCTGGGTGACAGGGACTCTAAATAAATACGTCCTTGTTTTTATCAAGACAATTTCCCAGAGATGAGGGACATGAGTTTGCAGCACAAGGAACTGCCGAGTGCCTACAACGGTGGACAAAGAGAAGCCACCCCAGGTGGCATCGGTGAGTTTCCGGATTCTGAGGACAAAGAGAAGACCCTACAAACTTCCAGAGGTACAGAGAAAAAAGTCTGTTGTAGGAATTCGATCTCATCAGACTTAAATGTCAACATTTGAAGCCAGAAGACAACGAGGGTCTTCAAAATCTGAGAAAATCACCTCTAGTCTAGAATTCCGTCCCCAGCCAAACTCTCAGTCCAGTGTGAGTTAAGGCTGTTTCTGACTCGCGATACCACGAAGGCCACCCCTCAGGAACCAGTGATGCTCGCGCCCCCACTGGGCAGCTCTCACAAAGGACAGAAGTGGGGCTGGCACCCACTGGTGTTCTCCTGGCTGAGGCTGGGAGAGGGGCTTCCGCCCGGGTGCTTGGACCTGGGACATCAAAGAGGGCGCACAGCCCCAGGCAGGTGTCCTGCTCACCACCACCCCGCTCACACGCGAGCGCAGAACCACGTCCCGGGGATTCTCACGTGCGTGAGGTCACCTGTCCTATGGGTTTGCCACGGGGCCCTGAGGTGACCATACAGCGAGCCTACAAGGTGGGGGCAGGGCCTGTGTTTAATTCTTTGCCAGAAACAGGAAAATTCTCCAGAACCTTTCCATTCTCTCTCTCTCTCTCTCTCTCTCTCTCACACACACACACACACACACACACACACACACACACACACACACGGTTGACATCTAAGGTCAAAGAGCATGGCCGCAGGGCTCTCGCTGCAGCCTCCAGGCCTTGACAGGGGCCCTACCTGTGATGTGTCCCCAGCAATGTCATGGTCAGCTGTGTCCTCCACAGAGCCCTGGAAATAGAAGCATACCGTTCCTGCAGGTAGGTGAAGAAAAACTAGTTAAAATATTGAAAAGAGTGATGTAATTATTTTTAAGTGTCAGTATTTACAATATGTCAGAAGTCATATTCTTCTAAGCTGATACCGAAAGATATCAGGTATTGACTTAAAATGTGTGAGGGGATACCTTTTCAAAAGGCATGCAAGCAGATTGAAAATCACTGCTCTGGGACATAAGCAGGTTGTATGTGTGTTTTTTCATTGGTTTACTTGTCTGTGGCAGGGGCGGGGAAAGCGTGAGGTTTAGAGTGAGACATGGGTTCAAATGCCAGGGGCACGATGAAGGTACAGAGGGAAGAAAGGGAGAAAGAAGGGTGGCCTGGGAGCCCTGGGGGCAGCTGGAGACAGGTGGCTGTGAGGAGAGAACCGCTTTCCCGGGTCCTTGGTCACCCCAATGGACCCCAGCACCCAGGCCCTTACCTGCAAGAAGGAAGGCCTGCACGATGTACAGGAACTTGAGGAGCCTGGAAGAAAAGCGAGGCTGAGTGTGAGGCTGGGCCTCTACGCCCTCACGGCGGGCACTGGCATCCCTCCCCGGTCCAGGCCCTGCTCTGCCAGGTGTGTCCAGTCACCACTGTGGATGAAGACACCCCTCAGCTGTAGCAGGGCTCGGCCAGGGCCCCTTGCTGACTGCCCAGTGGGGCACTGCGCCTCTGCCTACTTTGAAGCCAGGCGAGGAGCCCGGAGCATACAAGGATCCCCAGTACCTCCCTCTCTCCTTCCTTCCTTATACCTGGGTCCATGGTGCCTCTCCAGCCAGAAGGCAGGGACCTGACCTTGGCTGGGCACTCGCAGGTGCTCACCTGGCCCTGGATTAGCCCTCCCTACGGCTCCCTTCTCCCACGGCCCTCCAAAGCTCTCCCTACGAGCTGGCCTAAGAGATCCCACAACCTGGCTTAGAAATCATACCCCATGACCCATCTGCCTGCTCTGTAACCCCTCCCTCAGGACAAGCAGAGCATTTTGCTGTTGCCGAGATGGTGACTCCCTGCCCACAGACACACAGCCACGTCCCACTGGCCAGGGCCAGGCCCTTCACCCCAATCCCGAGTCCCAGAGACATCCCACCAGTCAGGGGGAAAGTTATGGAGAACCCTCTTTTCCCTTCCTCTTGGGGCCAGTTGGGGGTTCCCCTTCCTGGTCATTTGGAGCACCGTGAGAGGGCCCACCTACACTTTACCTCTCCGTCTGGCAGCCTATACCAAACACCATTTTCAGTCTGAGAAGAGAAGATGCGCCACAGTCAATGGGCCTATCGCATAGGCCCGGGATCGCAGGGTCCCTTTACCCCGTAGCTTGCAGGACTCAGCCGCCAGAGGCACCTGGGGCGGCAGGCAACTCCACCGGAGGGGTTCGGACCAAGGATAGCAGGCTGGTCCCAGATGGGGGCAAACTCAGGATGGCGGGCGAGCACCGTGAGCTTGGGGAATGCTCAGAAACTGCTCCCCAACCTCAGAGCCCCGACCAACGATGGTTTCAGTGCCCTTAGAGCTGGAAAGGCAGGTCCAGGAAAAAGAATGGGAAAGGGGCTGGAGAGAACGCAGGAAAAAGGTTAGTTCTACTGAACATTTGGTATCAGCTGTGCCCAGGTGTGGGTGGTGAATTAGAGTAAATAATCATGATTTAAAACTACCAACACTTTGAAGTATTTTCTGGGTTATGCAGCATTTGGGGAGCGATGTGGGGAGCACTGGGGGAGATTTCTGGGCCTCCTCAGCTTGTTCCCTCTGGAGTCCCACCCTCAGGGTCAGAACTCCCTGCAACCTGACGCCATCGTCAAGTCCAGGTCTCTTTCTGGGAGCTGGGCCCTTGGTGTGGCCCAGAGAGCCTCCCTCACCCGAGTGAGCTCCCCTTCTCCACAGGGACTATCTCAGGATCTCTCCCTAACCCCCCAACCCCACCTGCCTCCCTCCCCTCAGAGGGGAAGACAGGCAGCAGCAGAGGGGAACCCCCCGCACTTTCTGCCCTCAGGGCCCCCCAGTGCACCCTCTGCTTCTCTGGGCACTTCCTCCCCGAGGAAGTGGCTTCCGTCCCTGCCCGAGACTGGTCCCTCCCTGTACTGCATTCCATCTGTCTGAACTTCTCACCCCCTGCGTGGTTTTTTTGGGGGGGAGTCTCCCCTCCCGCATATTCAGCTTCTTCTCTAATGGCTCCTTGCCATCGGTATTTGAACACATCACTAATCTCTTCCATGAAAAAAAAATCTTCTTGCTGTACCCATATCCCCTCACCAGTGACCTTCCTAACTGTCGCCTGCCCTTCACTCCAGTCTCCCGGAGAGAGCTGTCTGCAGTAGGTGTCTTCACTCCCCTCCCACCTGTTCCATCCACAGCCCGCCTCAATGTTTCTGTCCCCATAAGTCCCCGAAAACGCTCACCAAAGTCACCAATATGCTTTTAGCCACCCGACCCGGTGGGCGGGCCCTTCTCAGGCCTCGGCTCACCGCGCTTCTCTGTGGGGCCGCGGTCCCTCAGCATCCCCCCATCACCCTCTCTGGGGCTCTGCTGGCAGTGTGTTCACAATAGGCTTTGTTAGTCACTTGTAACTGGGGTGGGGCACCATCAGGCTTTCTCTGAGAGGGGTTTGGAGGAGAAAGCAGAGGAAATGAGTCCTGAGGGAGAGGAGAGGAGGGGGACAAGGGACATGCCAGTAGGAAGGGAAGCCGAAAAGGTAGGCCAAGGCCCTACTGACAATCGTCACCTGCTTAGGGCCACTGCCCTTTGAGCCCACTTAACAAACACACCAACCTTGCTGACCTTAGCAACTTTCACCTTTGACCACGTCAGCGTCCAGGCAGCGACTCACCTTCCCTTAAGCTCCAGGGCTGAGGGCGAGAAGGGCACTGGAGCAGCCGAGTCGGGCGTCCAGAACGCAGCCCCTCCCTTTCTCAAGGACAGTGGTGTCTGGGTGTGTGACATCATGTCTTAGGGGCTTTATGACAGGACACCCTTGGTCAGTGGCCTCGGGGTGGCTTGCACTCCCTATCAGTCAGAGGCGGCACCTTCGTGGGTATCTCTTTGGTTCCATTCAGTGCCATCGGCGATGCCGGAGCCGCCACGACGTGCCAAGTTCTGTATGAAGTCCTGTAGGGACACAAAGACGCGAAGGTGTGGAAGACTCAGTCTTGTCTCATAAGACAAAAAGCTTATTTTCTGAATCAGCCAGACAATTTCTAAGTGTCATCCACTCGTCCAATTAGTGTCGCTGGGCTTCCATCTTGGGCCGTGAATCATGCCAAGGGGATAAAAAGGTGAACAGGACACACAGCCTACCCTCGAGGCGCTTGAAGACGACGGACAGACACCTCTGATTCAAGACAATAGCTTCTATCCTCCCCAAATTACTGTAAATGTTACCAAAGTATAATTACAAAACCAAGGATGTAAAACTAAGGAATGCCTAAGGTTCACGTACATATGACACATTACCAAGACGGGACCATAAAACAAGTCTCAGTAAATTTTAAAAGATTTGGCCCTGGCTGGTGTAGCTCAGTGGATTGAGCGCAGGCCTGAGAACCAGATGATCGTGGTTCGATTCCCAGTCAGGGCACATGCCTGGATTGCAGGCAGTTCCCAGCAGGGGATGCACGAGAGGCAACCATACATTGTTATTTCTCTCCCTCTCTCCTTCCCTTCCCCTCTAAAGATAAATAAATAAAATCTTTTATTAAAACTTAAAAAAAAAAGATTAAAGTTGCCCTGGCCACAAAGCTTGGTTGGTTGGAGTCCTAACAATGCGCCAAAGTTGCGGGTTCAATCCCAGGTCATGGCACATGCAGAACTCAACCAATGAATACATACACGGGTGGAGAAACGAGTTGATGTTTTTCTCTTGAAAAAGAAAAGATTAAAGTTTATGTCCTTTGACTACAATAGAATTAAATCGGAAATCAGTAACAGTTCCCTGGAAAATCCCCAAATATTCAGAAACTAAATAACACAACTTTAAATAACATATGGATAAAATTAAAAGTCAAAAGGAAAGTTAGAAAGTATTTTAACTCAGTGAAAATGAAAACATATAAAAATTTGTGGGATATACCCTGGCTGGTCTGGCTCAGTGGATTGAGTGCTGGCCCGTTGAACCAAAGGGTCCTGATTCAATTCCCAGGTACGGCGCATGCCTGGGTTGCGGGCCAGGTCCCCACTTCAGGGCACGCAAGAGGCACCAGATCCATGTTTCTTGCCCTCTCTTTCTCCCTCCCTCCGCCCTCTCTAAAAATAAATAAATAAATAAAATCTTTTAAAAATATGTGGGATGCAGTTAATGAAGTACTTTTAAAAATTTATAGCACTAACGTATTAGAAAATAAGAAAACTTTCAAATCAATGACCTCAGTTTCTACCTTAAAAGGGTAAAAATAGAGGAGAAAATAAACCCAAAATAAGCACAAGAAAGGAAAGAAAAAAATCAGAGTGGAAATTATCTTAATTAACCAATGTCACCCCAATAAATTTCGTTTAAAAATTAATTAATTAAATGTTCTGTAGTAGGTAGGAATTAGTAAAATAATAAATGCAATAGCACTTAAACCTAAAAAAAAAGAAAAATAAATAAGAGCAAAAGCTAGTTTTGTGATATTAACAGAGTATACAATCCTGTGGATAGAAGAGATTAGGGGAAAAAAGAAGTAAGACACAAATGATCAGTACAAGAGTGAGGAAGGTGACATTGATGCTGATGCTACAGATATTAAAATGATAATGACGGAATGTTTTGAACAACACTATACCAATAAGTTTGACATTGTTATCAAATGGACAAAATATTTAAAAGACACAAAGTACTAAAGTTCATGCATGCAAGAAGAAATCTATAACCTGGATAATCCTGTATCTATTCAAGACATTGAATTTAACTTTCCCACACAGAAAACTTCAGGACCATTTGGCTTCACTAGTGAATGCTACCAAACTTTTAAGAAAGAAATAATATAAATTCTACACAAACTCTTCCAGAAGAACAGGAGAGAATACCTTCCAAACTCATTCTGTGAAAGCAGCAAAACCAGACAAAAATGAAAAGAAAATTATAGCTCGACGTCCCTCGTAGACATAGGTGCAAATATTATGAATGAATCTTATCAAGTTGAAAGTAACAACATATAAAAAGGATAATACAGATTGGGGAAATTCTCCTTTATTATTTGTTCAAATAAGTTTTCCGGACTTATCTAAGAAAAAGAAGTTAAAAAAAGATGAACAGTGAAAGGACAGCAAACTCACAGTTATTAACAACCACACCTAAAACAAAAGCAAACTAAAAGGACAGCTAGATCAGGAGTGGAAACATAGAAATGAAGATCTCAAGGAGGGTTAGCAACAGGGGAGTGAGAGAAGGAGAAGGGGGGAGAAGGTACAGAAAATAAGTAGCATAGACAGTAGATAGAAAATAAATGGGGGGAAGAATAGTATGGGAAATATAGAATCTAAAGGACTTGAGACACATGGTCATAAACTAAAGGGGGGGTAATGGTGGGGACGGGGGGATAGGGTGGAGGGGAATGAAGGGAGGGAATAGAACAACTGTAATGGCATAATCAATTTTAATAAAAGGATAATACATCACTACCAAAGGAGTTTATCCTCAGGAATGCAAGGTTAGTTCAGTCTGAAAAATTAATCCATCTAATTCATCATATTAACAGACTAAAAAAGCAAAACTGTATGATTATCTCAATAGAAGCATAAAAAAGGACAAAATCAACATCTGTCCCTGCAAAAACTCTCAGCAAACTAGGAGTAGTTAGAAACATGCTCAACCTGACGACGAACACCTGTGAAGAACACGGAGCTGGCCCCGGCTGGGTAGTCCACCGGTTAGCGCATCATCCCCACACACCAAGGTGGAGGCTTGGGTCCCTGGTGAGGGGACGCACTAGAATCAACCAGTGAATACACAAATAAATAGAACAAAAAAATCAATGTTTCTCTCTCTCAAATTAATGTTTTAAAAAAGTAGAGCTAATTAATAGTAAACATACTCAACAGTAAAGTACTGAATGCTTTCCCCCTAAGTTCGGGAATAAGGTAAGGGTGCCTGTCTTCATCACTTCTACATAACGTTGTGCTGGAAGTTTTGGACCGTGAACTAAGTCAAGAAAGAGAAGAAAAAGGCAACCAAATTGGAAAGGAAGAAGTAAAACTGTCTTTTTTTGCAGACAACATGATTGTGTATAAAATTCTACAGGGTCATCCAAAAAGCTACTAGAGTTTAGACGGGTGAAACAATATAAGAGCAATATAAAAAATCAATTACATTTGCTGTAAACCTAAAACTGCTCTGAAAATAAAAATCAATTCTATTTCTAAATAAAAGCAATGAACAATTGGGAATTTGAAATTTTCAAATGCCATTTGTCATAGCATCAAAAATATGACCTACTCTGGGGGAAACCTGACAAAAGACGTGTGCAAGACCTGTATATGAAAAACTACAAAACGATGCCAAAGAAATTAAAGAAGACCTGCCCTGTCTGGTGTAGCTCAGTGGATTGAGTGCGGGCCTGCAAACCAAAGGATCACGGTTTGATTCCCAGTCAGGGCACATGCCTGGGTTGCAGGCCAGTCCCCAGCAGGGGACACACCAGAGGCAACCATACATTGATATTTCTCTCCCTCTCTCCTTCCTTTCCCCTCTAAAGATAAATAAATAAATTTTTAAAAGAAATTAAAGAAGACCTAAATAAATGAAGAGCTATATACCATAGTCGTGGATTAGAAGATCCAACATCATTAAGATGTCAATTCCACCCTCAAATTGATCTAAAGATTTAGTGGAATCACAATAAAACCCCCATCAAATTTTTGTTGTTGAAATCTATATGCTGTTTCTAAAGTGTATATGGAAATATATACGTGTCCAAGCTGGACAGTAATCAAGACAGGATGAGATTGCTGATACCCAAACGGATGAAATAGAGCAGAGCGCGGACGTGGCTGGGCGCAGGGGCGCCCGCCTACAGTCCCAGCTACTCGGGAGGCTGGGGCAGGAGGATGGCTTGAGCCCAGGAGCTCTGGGCTGTGGTGCTCTATGCGGATCTAAGCCAGGCATCGGTTCGGTGACTGGTGACTTCCCAGGGGTGGGGGCAGGGGTGGCGGTGGCTGTCACCAGGCTGCTTCAGGAGGGGTGAATCGGCCCAGGTCGGAATGCAGAGATAGACCCGTATGTTTTCAACTGATTTTAGACAACAGTACAAACGCCGTTCAGGGGAGGAACTATAAAGTCTTTTCAATAAATGGTCAAGGAACAACTGGGTATTTTTATGGAAAAAATGGACTTCGATTCATATGTCATACCATATGCTAAACTGGCTCTAAATTGATCACAGACCTAAATGCAAAACCTACAGCTGCAAAACCTCTAGAAGAAAACACAGGAGAAAAACCCTGTGATCATGGATTAGGCAAATATACCTCAAATATAACACCCAGATCACAGATCATAACAGAAAAAAAATTGATAAACTGGACTTCATCAAAATTAAAATCTTCTGGTCTTTCTAAAGATAGTGATAACGGAATAAGTAGAAAGACAAGCCACAGACTAAGAGGAAACATTTCCAAATGTTTGTTTTAAATAACAATAAAGAAATATGCTAGCTGGAAACTAGCTAGATCCATGAATAGAGGAACAACTAAAATATGATATATCCATATGATAAATTCTTTCCAGAAATAAAACGAAGCAGATCTATATGACCTCACAGAACGACTTCGGAGACATTTAGAGAAAAAGATGAACTGCAACACAAAAGGTGTGGGAAGATACCTATATATATATAAAATCAGTTCTCCCCAAAACCTCAGTTCACAAACTCAAATGGGCAAGAAATAGTGAAATGACACATTTCTTTATTGTTACTTAAAACAAAAATTTTACCTCCAAGCCCCCAACTCACCAAGTTGGTGGGAAGTGGATCGTAAGGAATTGAGGCATTACTGTCCCTCCCCGAGCCCAGAAGTTTGTCCAGGTCCCAGGAGCACGCACACTGCTGAGGCATATGCGGGCAAGGACGATGACTCCATTCTCTGTGTGTCCTCTATATTTGGCTCAGTGTTTAGCAGGGAGAACCACATGC